TATGGTTTCCGATTACGATTGTAATCTGGCAATCGTGTCAAATTTTTCTGTTTTGAATCAAATATGAATTTGCCATGGTAATTAAGTTTCATTTTCAGTTGTGATCATCGATTACCGATTTTTCTGAACTCTATTTATAATGGACGTTATTATAATCCAAACGTTACTTTTATTTTAATTGATTTCTTTTTATGAGATCTAAAGCTTTTCTACATCCATATTATTCATTCCAATCGCAGACTAATGAACGATAGCAAAGATTTTGAAATAGAGCGAAGTGGAGTTGACTCTGGACACATTAACGCTAAGAAAGAAGAAGGTGTCAGAGGAGGGGGGGGGGACTAACATGAGTTATTATCCGTCGCCAGGGAGGGAGGGGAGGAGGGAGGATATTGCTCTCTGCTGAATCTGTCAGCGGGACCTTCTCCGTCCACATCGGCCCTTAGCGAAAAAAGGGGCAGAAAAACCGGACGGGTTTTATAGCATTGTCCCGTGTCTTTTTTCCCGTATCAATCGACACTCCGTTTACACTTAACACACGGATTGTAAAAGAGACCCGACTCAATCTGCAGCCAGTTTTTTTTTTTAATTGTTTTTTTGTTTCTCTCCCGTGGAAGGGTTCGGACTCAGTCGATAAAAACAGTGGACGAAAATAAACTTTAAAACACTCGTGCACCTTCGGAATGTTTATTTAGGCCCCCCTATGATAAAAAATAAACTTTTTTTTATTCATTGTTCAAAACATAAACACTATCCAGATTAATTAGCGGCACCGTCGCATTCATCTTGTATTCATTAAAATACATTTATAATGAAAGTGAACGGGAACCAATTAAAGATTTCACATTGAATTGTTTTCTTATGGATGATAAATATTCAGGACGCAGTCATTATAAGGTTTTTATTAGTGCCGACGTTTCAACCCAAACATGTGGCTCTTCATCAGGGCGTGGTTCGAACTCAGTGAGTACTTAAAAATCTTCAGTGCTCGAACCACGCCCTGATGAAGATCCACAAGTTTGGGCTGAAACGTCGGCACTAATAAAAACCTTATAATGACTGCGTATAGAATATTTATCTTATTTATTTATATTTATCAGTCGACTAACTTTCTTCAATTAATTGTTTTCTCCTGTTACATTCCATAAATATTATATATTTTATTTTCAAGAGATGGAGAAATATTGTACTATTACGTTTGCATTACCATCTCCTCATGTGCACTTCCCATATTTCATCTAGTCTTATTTACATAATTATTTCTGTATCTCATTTTTCGTTTAAATATATTCTTTTATTTTTTAGCCTTGAAGATGACCCACATGTTTTGGTCAAAATGACATCCAGCCTCATAAACAATACTAAAACTATATATCTTGAATTTTTCCATCCTTACTTTCCTACCTATACTAAGTAAGGAAAATACTGCAATCGGGTCAAATTTCTGATATAAGGTTTTCGATCTACGGATTTATACTTTTCAGAGTTCCCTCAGTCCGAAAAACACATTTTTAGCCATTGGTCTGTTTGTTTTTATTTTTTACAGTGATCTACCTTAAGCCGGTTTACATTGCTTTACTTTATAAAATGAATCGTACTCAAATCTTTTCTTTGATCAATTTTCAGGAAAAAGAATCTAGTTCAATTTTTTTTTTTTTTTGTTTCTTCATGAACATATGTAAAGATAAAAACTTTTCTGAAATAGGTAGTAAAGTCGTGTGACTGGAAACACCAGATTTTTTTATTGAATGTTCTGTATTTAACTATTATTACATACATGATCAAAAATCGAAATTATTTTATCAGATTATAATATAATTGTTATCTAAATAGGCTCAAAAGATACCTCCATCCACTAATACCCTAAAATGTGCTTAAACACAATAGATTTGTTCTTATCTTAACGTACTTACAAGTATAGATACATCAGCGTTAAAATAATTAAACACAAATAAATAAACAAATATACAACCCACTAAATATAGCTCACTGTTTTTTTTATTTATATGTTTTTTTAGCCCGTTTCTTGTCCTGAAGGCAGGAAAAATATGCAGATCCCCAGAAACGTCAGGGAAAAAATACTTTTGTGCATAAATCAAAGAGTAATTTATACTGGATTATATTCATGATTTTTTGAAAGAGCTCTAAATCACCAACAACAATTTTAAAATTCATTAAAATTATGGATTATTACTAACGAATAGAGTGCTACCAGTGGATAGTTTTTCAACAACTGTTTTCATGTGATTATATTCCTGTGTACACATTTACTTAGTGTATTTATATTCTAATACAGTTGTAAATATCATGATTAAAAAAATATTAACGAAAATATGGATTTATGTAATTCTCTAATAAAGAACTAGTGTAATAAAGACTCATTTTTTTTTTTTTTTTAATGAACCATTGTAATCGACAGACATGGCATTTAGCATAATCAATATACTGTACAAAGTATTCGCAAAGGCAAACCTTTACAAACTTAATTTTTGTAACAAACAATAATAATAAAAATGAGAACTACGTTCGTTTCATAATTTTAACAAGGTTGACTGAGGAGTTGAGTTTACCTTTGCCTAACTTGAAAATATTAAAGCGGTTGAAGCTTATGACAATTATAAATCTACATGGTACAGGAAACTTGGCCAACACTTTAACAAACATCCACCTATGAATTTACTTGTTAACTTTGAAGCACACACAAAAGTTCCTAACACCATATTAAAGGGAGACTTAAATCAAACACTGTTTAGACAAAGCTCTTTGCATACTAACTTGAACATATTAAAACTTCCCTGTATGAGATGTTTTACTTGGAATCTAGTTTATATTGTGATGTTTCAACGTGGAAACAGTACATCATGACTGGCAAAAAATTTTACCCATCCTGTATGCAATAAAAATAAGAAACCTACTACGCATTAGGAAAAATGAGGTTAAATTATTCGAAGAAAAAACTAAATAAAGCAAGCGAATAACAGTTATATTGATTTGTATCATTTTTATTCAATTAGCATATATTGGTAGTGGTTTGAAAATATACTGTTATTTGAAAAACTTTATATATAAAAAAAATCGTAAGTAAATTAATATTACAATAAATATATTAATCATGAATAATGAGTTGTCACAAAAATATCAGTGCTTTGTTTCTGTTTGCACAGTAAGTTTGAAGCTTAGTATAAATCAAAATCTAAATAATTAGTACTATTAACATTAAAACATTGAATGGTATATATATATATATATTATATATATATATATATATTATTATAATATATATATATATATATATATATATATATATATATATATATATATATTCCATTACAGGTATTCTTGATGGAATGATTGGTTTTATTTTATAGTTGTTTATGTACTATTATATAAACAATTACTGTATATATCGTTTGGCTCTTCATTGTGTAATTTTTTTTGGCAAGATATGTATTTTTAGTTATTTATTCATAAAAATTATTATAAGTCCCCTTAGTCCAGAATAAGTTTATTTTTCTATCTACCTAAATAAGTGTACATTGTAGATTTTGTTAGGACAGAAATAATCACCAGTATTAAAAACTTTCGAAGGAACTGTCAAATAGGCATGGACAAAGCCGAAAAATATTTGATAAAGAGAAATTTCTATTTATAAAATAAAATCAATTCCTCATCCTTTCAATTTTTTTTTCCCCTCCTTCATCTTCTATTTTCACCTACCATTCTCAATAATCTAAAAAGGCACTAAGGCAAGCTCAGCTCACCGTAAAATCCTCTAACCTTAATCCCGCTATTATAAAAAATTTAAATGAGTCAGCTTATCCTTCGTAAGGATTATATAGGTTCTCCTACTCGTAAAAATGCGGAGAAAATTTAATAAAATACTAGGAAAAATTATAGAAATGTGGATAATGTAAGTATATAACCTAGAGATACTAATAAACCAACGCAATAAACCGACATTTTAATAAAAACTAAATTTGACTAGCTGGATTCTTTCCAACAAAAAATCTTTATTTCGAAATAACAATATTTCCTGGTATAAAAAATGTTTATATACATATATATTGCACATTGTTAAAATAAAAATTTTGTTAAATATTTTAAATTTTGATAAGAAAACATCATGAACTTTTTGAGGTTTATAATAAATATATGCATTAAATTGTTAAATTGGAAATTTTACAACCAAACAATCGTAAGCAAAATATATTTATATTAAACAATCCACTCAGGATCGAACCACTTGTATAATTTTTTATTTTTCCTTCGAATCACCTATCAACTTCAGGGCCCATTTTCGATAAAAAAAAGATTAGTGTTCGCATTGAAGAAAAAAATGGAGTATGATTTGGAGGGAATATAGAGAGTTCTAAAAATTATCTAATTATTATAATTTATTCTTAATAAAATGCATAAAGAGGCTTATGATGATTTTTTTTTAAACTTAAGAAATGCAAATTTCACTGCATTTCTTGAAAACAAACAAAATTCCGATTGCGGAAGTATGCATATTTTAACACCACATTTTTTTAATATTTAAAAACTTTAAAAAAAAAATTGAATTATTGGTTTAATTCGGTGTTTTTACTTAAGAATCGACGTTTGTCTCGTTTTAAAAAAAATAAAATAAATTAGGGTTAGATTTGAAAATGTGTGACACGTCTGTTGATGACTGTATCGGAATATCTATAGTAAATACAATTTTTGATCATTGAAACGTTCAATAAGCTGAGGGTACCATACTGCTGTACCATTTAAAAAAATGTAAATAACGGATGCTGACACATTCGACATACTAACAACACCTTGAGCACTCCAAATATAGTTAACGTTATCATGAGTCGTTGAGAGACAAAGATCCGGTAGGCAAACTAGTCTAGCAATAATTGTACTAGGCGACCCTCACTGGTCAAATAGGAAATAGCTGAAGCACCGTTATCCTAGGTAGGTACACCAGGGCGTGGTCACACCCTGCAATCTAAAAATGCACTTTCCTGCACCTCAAGGACTCGAGGTATTATATAAACAAACTAGGCGTCGGCTGAGGATGTAGTTCACCTCCGAGCAGGAAGCAATCACAAACACAATGAGAACCGTCCTAGTAAGTTGGCTAAAACTACTTCTTTGATTATATACAGAATAAAAAAATAAATTTCAACATTACTACCTCTTTGAATGATAATTAAAAAAAAAAATAAATGTTTAAGAATAGATTCTCATTACATTCAGTATTTCAGTTAATATCACTTTGTTTTTTAGGTCATTGTTTTAGTTATTAATGAATTCTTAATATAAACGTGTTATGATTTTTCAGGCCTGCCTGTTGCTCGTTGGAGTAGCTCTGTCCTACCCCACACTGGAGGTTCGAAACAAGAGGAGTGTCTATGGAGCTCATGGTCTTTTTCCAGCAGTAGCTGCCCATGGTTTGGTCGCCCCAGCCGTCGCTGCGCCTAGCCTTGTCGCACCTGCTGTTGCCGCCGCTAGCTTAGTCGCTCCCGCTACTGCCGCTGGTTCCCTCTACGCAGCCCCAGCTGCTGCCGGCTCACTCTACGCCGCACCCGTAGCAGCCGGCTCAGTCTACGCCGCTCCTACAGCTGCCGGCTCCATCGCCGCTGCCCCTAGCGCCGCTGGATCCATTGTTGCTGCCCCATCCCACGCTGGTTCCATCGCTGTCGCCCCATCCTCAGCTGGTTCCATCGCTGTCGCCCCATCCCACGCTGGATCCATCGCTGCAGGCCCAAGCTATGTTGGATCCATTGCTGTAGCTCCATCCCACGCTGGTTCCGTCGCGGCTGCCTTAGCCACCCCTGGATACGTAAACAGACTTCTTGCGAGTGCAGTAGCACGCCACGATACTCCATGGGGTGCAATTGGACACGGACACTCACTCAGATATGGACCCCACTACTACCAATAAATATTAAATCTACATAATTTAATAAGGCTGTTAAGTAAACAATTTGTAATAAACTTTGTAATTTTTAAAATATAACTCCCTATTACAAATAATTATATACCTTGCACTATGCAAACATAACATGCTTATCAAAAGAAAGAGATGTAAATCAATGAATCGTTGGAGTTTGTCTATTTAATGTTTTATTCAACTATTTAATATGAAAAACAAGTTGTGTAATGACATTTAAATTTCTAAAGTAAACGAACTGTTATTGTAATTTTCTAAAATGGCTGTTTTAGTTATTTTAGAACAATACAGTTAACTGTTATTAAATTGTAAGTAAGTTATATACAGAATGAACACTATATTTATTAATTTAAAAAGGAAACTACTATTTTTTAAGAAAGTGGGTAAATGTTAACCAACATTTCAAGGCATCCTTAAAAGTTAGAGTTAAAAATCCTTAATCCTTAAAAGTTAAAAAATATAAAAAAAGAACAGCTATCTGTCGATTGAGAAAAAACATATGAGGAGAAAAGGTATCTTTATTATTTTATGAACAAATGAAATAAAAATACGTAAAACTGTAAAACTTCTTACACCGACAGTTCAAAGCTGCGCAGTAGTAACCGATAAAAAATAATTGCTTTACACATTGTCAGGCAAATTTTAAATGCGGAAGGTACAGCTGTCAAGATATATCTATATATATGTATATATAATATATATTATATATATATATTTATTATATATATATATAATATATATATATATATAACCTAGATTAACGATAGTAGAAGACTCAATGAGGGATCTTATGGCTTTAAAAACAGTAAAGAAAAAAATGTGCAATAATTCTAGATGTAAAGAATACTCGGTGGTAAATCCAAACAAACGGCCAAACTGTCATTTTTTGAGTGTACGTTATTAGGGATAAGTTATTCCGACATCAGAAGGCACTACAGTTAACGTATCGGAGGCACTGAGGACTTTATAAGTAATACTTTTATTCATAACGTCTGTTACAAATGGCTTCCTAAAATACAGAATAATACTATGAATATATGGGTTGACTTCACTCTAGGTCATGGCAAGAGTGTGACTTCAAGAATGTAACTGCATGAGTGACTTGTTCTGAGGATCATGAGGATAAATACATCCAGGAATTGTAGGATTGATAAGGGAAACCGGAAGAGAGCTTCAAAGGAAGTTATTAATAATTGATATTATTAAGATGAGCTCTGTGAGAAAGAACTGGAGCTATGACACATTGAGAATTGATATACTTATCCTTTAATATTGATGTGAGGCCTCTGAGAAAAAGATATTGTTTCCTAAGTACTGGATAATGGGTCTTGTTGTGTCCTATCGGTACCTTCTAGATAATTAACTATTTCTAAGTTATCAGAGACAGCTTGACCTGACTATCCAGGTCTAGCTTTTTTCTTTGAGTTAATTGTCCATACATGATTAACTAATTGGTGCAGGTAACAACCTCAATTATTAAAATAAAGGTTAAATTAATATTATTATTATTACTATTGGTTACTATGTTTAATATCAGGAGGGATGGAATTTAGGAGGAATACAAACAGCTTGGATTATAAAGGATTTGTCAGACGCAGCAGATCGGTGAAGAGGAGAATAGAGGTTGGAAGTACGGGATCTAGTTTTATGGGATCGAATGGAGCATTTAAATTGTATGCTGTGAAAATATAGGAGGGTCGCTGAGTTCTGATGATATGGTACAGAAATGTAACAATGAAGTACATACGGCTTATTGCAAAACAATTTGCAGATTAAAAAGTTCATATTAAGTCAATTTATTGCTATTAATATATTGTGATTATAATCATAGATGCATAAGTATGGACTCGTTTTTTTTTTAAATCCTCAGAAAAAAATAATCATTATTAGTAATTATGAATTATTTCTTCAAAAAATAAATTAATAAATAGGTTCATTATATATATGTATACATATATATATATATTTATATATATATATTATATATATATATATATATATATATACACATATACAAGTAAGGAGTAAAATTGCTTTCCGAGGATTTCCGTTTTAGGATCTGAGATGTATTAGGTCGTGTCCAGGATTTTTGCGGTAAGGTAACCTGTGAATGATATTAGATATTTCTGAAGTATGAAATTAAATGGAAGAACCATTTGGAGTGACATTCAAGATGATTTGGGTTAAGAATATCGGGATGTCGATTAAAGGTTTTGAAGGAGTGGTGAGGAAATGTTAGGGTTTTAATAATGAATTAAAAAAAAAAAAAACATGACAAATCCAAACATATGACATTGACACTTCGAAAAACTGCTACCCCCAGTTAACATTGACAATCCATTTCCTCCTCCATTTACTTTATCTTGAACTACCTTCGACAGAAGGATGAAATGGAACTCGCATGCCTAAATGAAACAAAAGACTCAAACTACTCTAAACTTTTTTTTCTAAATCTTTAAAAACGAACTGAGACAGAAACTGAATACATACACATACTTACTTAAATGAATATGGTCATACTCATCCTAAATATATTGTATCGTAAAAAATACCCACCTAAAAAAAAACTTTAAAACTTCTGATCAAAATCATTGCGACTCATAACAAAAGCACCTTGGTATGTAACTAACAAAACTCTTCATAGTGACCTCCACATTTTAGGAGTTGACCAACATATAACGACCCTTTACCAACGATTTTATAATAATTTAAACGGACATAACAACAGTTTAGTAAGGGAAATGGCAGTAGATGACATACCTCAAAACATGAGGAGGAGACTAAAAAGGCATGGATCGTCAACAGAAAGCTGACAGGCGCAAATGAATTTTAAAATAAAAAAAATGTCTAAATTTTAATTTACTTCATTAAATACACAGAACTTAAATCATACTGAAATAGGAACTTATTAGTTCGGTGGTTGGTTGAATCAGTCAACAAGAAGTACAGACACCTTAAAACGCACATATTTAAAAAAATACAGACATATTACAACAGGACCTCTGAAATATTAGATTAGAAATTTCTATAAACTAAAATTAGTAGTTTTTCCTATCGCTCCAGTCTAAAGTCATTCGTACAATAGTAAATTTCCTGATTACGTTACAAACAAAACTCTACATCATGCTCTTAATATCCCTTGCGTCCTTGGCGTTATTCCATCCCGTTTCTTAAATTTTCATCAAAACCTAATCTATCATCCTAAACCCTTAGCACAATCCTTATCCAGCTCCAGCCCTCCTTACAATCCTCCTCGAAGGTTAAAAAGGCAGTGGCCTTGAGATGTTTTATAAATACGTCATTGGAGTCCTAGCAATGGCACCTTCTTCACTCATGTCATGAGCGTATGTGGCTTTAGTGCCTTTCTCAGTCTCCACTGGATCCCCATCTCAATGATGCGACTGAGAAAGAGCGCTGGGATCTCTTAGAGTTTTGCCTTATCTTCCACACGTGGGGGAAAGGGCCCGATTTGCAGCTCCCTCGGCTGACTGTAAATATTGTAAATACGCATGAATGGTTCGTTTTTTTTTTTCTCTTATTTATTCATTTTTTTTTTTTTAATTTTTGTTGTATCATATTTTATTTTATCTGGTTTACTAAGCTTTCTTTTTCTTATTTTTTTTATAATTTCTAATAATTCTGTAATTGTATATATTTTATGAATGAATTTCTCACATCTTAATGCCCTTGATTGTGGCAAAATATATTTTTTCGCAACTAAAAAAAAAAAAAGTAGTTTTTAATATTGAAAAATACCGAAGCTATCCAACGCTTGCGCTTCATAAAATAAAAATAAAGGTTAATTACAAAACCTACTAATAACAGACAATTTTGATAGCTGAACTGAAGAAAAGGCAGGAGTTTTAAAATTGTCTTAAAAAGTGCTCGTTATCAACAATTCTTATGGATAAGGATAGTTCCAACATTACTAATCGATAATTTCTTTAATGTAAAACGATAAAATGAATTTGTTATTTAATTTATGTTCTGAATATTTGTAATTAGTAATCTTGATAGTAATTCAATGTGTATTTTAACTTTCCGTTACAAATACTAATAATACTAATCAAAATTTCGATATATCTGAAAATAGGTGGTCTTAATTATATAATTTACTCGGTTAAGAATGAAATGAAAAATCAATCTTCAACCAGGAACACCCAGCAGCCAAAGAACAACAAAAAATCATGCAACATTTTTCTGGATTCGGCAAATATTTAATTAAATTATCAACTAAAATATGACAAATAATAAATAATTGCAGGAATAATAGGTAAATGTACAAATGCACGTATATGTACAAACTTATAAATCCATTCATTCATTCGTTGCATTGAATGAAGTCTGATCCCTAAAAAGGTGAGGAAGTATATGGAGTTTAAATTAAGCTACTGAGGCAAAAAGACAAGGCTAAGGTAATTAAATCGACTTAACACGAAAAGGAACAGGTACTTGCAAAATAATAAACAAATCAGTGATTGATACCTCATATTTAAGAGTTTGATGGAAAAATGTAGATTGAATAGGTCAAGAATATAAGGTTTTTAGGTTCTTAAGGATCGGAATAAGACAATATTGTTTTCAAAAATGCCTTCAGAATCATAATTGTTCCTATTCCACTAAGCGATGTGAAAACGTCTTGGAATACCGAAAATTATAATTACAAAGTAATATATTAAAAATTTTAATTTCATTCCGTGCTCATCGAACAGTTCTGGATATACCAAGTATTCAAATCGGAAGATAATGAGAGATAATACTTCCTACATTCTAATATTTCGGAGGAATGAATCACGAAATCTCAGGATTCCTATTTCATTTCATCCGTTAGTTAGCAGGCATAAATAAATCACGACTTAGTGGTTTTCTGCCACTCCAGCCCGGAGAAATCTTTGTAACGCGAAGATATGAAAAAAATTTAAAAATAACAGAAAGTTAGACGTCATATAAAAAAAAAAAGAATAAAAATCCAACATGAGTATAAGAGCAAATCGTATGGTCTTTGCCCCCTCCAACTGGCGATACAATTCCAGTCTCTCAAGGACCACTTTCCAAGTATATAAATGAATTACTTCTAATGGAGACAG